TTGTCAGGAAGACGCCAGTCATGGGACGGGCGAGGTGTCAAGTGGCACCTGTGACCAGCGGTCCCGCAGGGGGCAGTCCAGGACCAGGGTGTTTCTGGGAGTGAACGACATGACGGAAGGAATAGACTCTGAGGTGTCCCTGTTTGCAGATGACGTGAAGTTTATAGAAGAATTCACCGTCGAAGACCAGGGAGAACTACAAAGGGATTGGCAGGCTGCAGACCTGGTCCGCAATTGGTCCTGGAGTTCAAAAACCCACCAAGTGCAAAGTCATAAGATTGGGGAAGGCAAAGAAGGCCCGACGGAGTACGCTAGGGGGGAGAGACTACAAACCTCACTCAAGGGAAAAAAATCTTTGGGGGGAGTATAACACCAGGGACATCTCCCGAACGCACATCAACCAAATACTGCTGCAGCTATGGCGCTAGCAAAACCCCCAAACAGCATTCCGACACTTAATAAGGGAAACATTCAGGACCCCGTACACCCTGTACGTTTTGGGGCCCCTATTGGGGTATGCGGCACCAGTTTTTGGAACCCACACCTACCAAAACTGAAGAAACTAGAGAAAGAGCAAAGGTTTAACAAGACTATCCCAAGCTAAGAGGTTGTCCTACAAAGGGGGTTAAGGGAAAACAAACCGACGGGACTGGAGGGCAGGGAGATAGGGGAAAACATGAAAAAACAACAAAATATGAGGGAATTGACAAGGTGGACAAAGACAGGATGTTCGAGATTGGACACAGTAACAAGGGGACACAGTTGGAAGCTGAAGACACAGATGAATCACAGGGATGTTAGGAAGTATTTCTTCAGCCACAGAGTAGTCAGTAAGTGGAATAGTTTGGGAAGCGATGTAGTGGAGGCAGGATCCATACATAGCTTTAAGCAGAGGTATGATAAAGCTCACGGCTCAGGGAGAGTGACCTAGTAGCGATCAGTGAAGAGGCTGGGCCAGGAGCTCGGACTCGACCCCCGCAACCTCAACTAGGTGAGTACACACACACACACACACACACACACACACACACACACACACACACACACACACACACACACACACACACCCCCTCTCTCCCTACCAAGCTTCCAGATGCTAATAGCAGTTGTAGGAAAGTGTCCAGTGACTGTATATGTATATATATTATGGAACAATAGTAATAAAAAAATTTTTGTGTTGTTGGTTTATGTAAACAAGTTTTGTATATATGATGGTAATGTTTGTGCAGTTATTGTGTTGCATACAATGAGTGTATATATGTACATTGCAATTTTCTTTGGTCTCACGGGCCACATAAGATACTTGGAAAAAAAAATATTGGAAAATAGAAGAAACCTTCGAATGGGAGAAAATATAAGTGTACCAGGTGAGTGACATTCACCGCTGTTGCCATACGTGGCTCATTTTCTGCAGCTTCATGCCTCTATTTCTCGGTAGGTACTGATCACAAAAAAAAAAAAATTGGCTTAAAACTCTAAGCAAATTAATCCTAACATTTTGCTAAGATTTTTTTTTTTTATTTTGTGACACAGGGAGACAGTTTCAGAATTGGGGTTGAGACAGTCAAAGGGTTAAAGAGTGTATTTTCAACAAATTTTTGTCTATATATCTGAACGATGATGAAATTTTTTTTTTTTTTTTCTTTCTTTTTGGGTTTTTCTTTCTCTTTGGGTCACGCTGCCTCATTGGGAAACGACCAACATGTTAAAATATAAAAGTATGCACGTGTATACAAGGGTAACATTAATGTATATAGTGTATGTAAAGCATTATACCTCCGGGGGAGTTTTTCCTGCAAATTAATTTTTGAAGGGCATTTATTTTCAAGAATTTTGGGGTGCCAGGGGTAAATGTAAATGGGGAGCCTTTAATTGAGCTATGTGTAGAAAGAGATTTGGTAATAAGTAATACATATTTTATGAAAAAGAGGATAAATAAATATACAAGGTATGATGTAGCACGTAATGAAAGTAGTTTGTTAGATTATGTATTGGTGGATAAAAGGTTGATGGGTAGGCTCCAGGATGTACATGTTTATAGAGGGGCAACTGATATATCGGATCATTATTTAGTTGTAGCTACAGTTAGAGTAAGAGGTAGATGGGAAAAGAGGAAGGTGGCAACAACAAGTAAGAGGGAGGTGAAAGTGTATAAACTAAGGGAGGAGGAAGTTCGGGGGAGATATAAGCGACTGTTGGCAGATAGGTGGGCTAGTGCAAAGATTGAGTAGTGGGGGGTTGAAGAGTGTTGGAATAGTTTTAAAAATGCAGTATTAGAATTGTGGGGCAGAAGTTTGTGGTTATAGGAGGGTGGGGGCAGGTGGAAAGAGGAGTGATTGGTAGAATGATGAAGTAAAGGGTGTGATAAAAGAGAAAAAGTTAGCTTATGAGAGGTTTTTACAAAGCAGAAGTGTTACAAGAAAAGCAGAGTATATGGAGAGTGGGAGAGGCACTGTCAAGAAATTTTAATGAAAATAAGAAAAAATTTTGGAGTGAGTTAAACAAGTTAAGAAAGCCTAGGGAAAGTATGGATTTGTCAGTTAAAAACAGAGTAGGTGAGTTAGTAGATGGGGAGAGGGAGGTATTAGGTAGATGGCGAGAATATTTTGAGGAACTTTTAAATGTTGAGGAAGAAAGGGAGGCGGTAATTTCATGCACTGGTCAGGGAGGTATACCGTCTTTTAGGAGTGAAGAAGAGCAGAATGTAAGTGTGGGGGAGGTACGCGAGGCATTACGTAGAATGAAAGGGGGTAAAGCAGCTGGAACTGATGGGATCATGACAGAAATGTTAAAAGCAGGGGGGGGATATAGTGTTGGAGTGGTTGGTACTTTTGTTTAATAAATGTATGAAAGAGGGGAAGGTACCTAGGGATTGGCGTAGAGCATGTATAGTCCCTTTATATAAAGGGAAAGGGGACAAAAGAGATTGTAAAAATTATAGAGGAATAAGTTTATTGAGTATACCAGGAAAAGTGTACGGTAGGGTTATTGAAAGAATTAGAGGCAAGACAGAATGTAGGATTGCGGATGAGCAAGGAGGTTTCAGAGTGGGTAGGGGATGTGTAGATCAAGTGTTTACATTGAAGCATATATGTGAACAGTATTTAGATAAAGGTAGGGAAGTTTATATTGCATTTATGGATTTAGAAAAGGCATATGATAGTGGATAGGGGAGCAATGTGGCAGATGTTGCAAGTATATGGAATAGGTGGTAAGTTACTAAATGCTGTAAAGAGTTTTTTTTGAGGATAGTGAGGCTCAGGTTAGGGTGTGTAGAAGAGAGGGAGACTAGTTCGCGGTAAAAGTAGGTCTTAGACAGGGATGTGTAATGTCACCATGGTTGTTTAATATATTTATAGATGGGGTTGTAAAAGAAGTAAATGCTAGGGTGTTTGGGAGAGGGGTGGGATTAAATTATGGGGAATCAAATTCAAAATGGGAATTAACACAGTTACTTTTTGCTGATACTGTGCTTATGGGAGATTCTAAAGAAAAATTGCAAAGGTTAGTGGATGAGTTTGGGAATGTGTGTAAAGGTAGAAAGTTGAAAGTGAACATAGAAAAGAGTAAGGTGATGAGGGTATCAAATGATTTAGATAAAGAAAAATTGGATATCAAATTGGGGAGGAGGAGTATGGAAGAAGTGAATGTTTTCAGATATGTACTTGGGAGTTGACGTGTCGGCGGATGGATTTATGATGAGGTTAATCATAGAATTGATGAGGGAAAAAAGGTGAGTGGTGCATTGAGGTATATGTGGAGTCAAAAAACGTTATCTATGGAGGCAAAGAAGGGAATATATGAAAGTATAGTTGTACCAACACTCTTATATGGGTGTGAAGCTTGGGTGGTAAATGCAGCAGCGAGGAGACGGTTGGAGGCAGTGGAGATGTCCTGTCTAAGGGCAATGTGTGGTGTAAATATTATGCAGATAATTCGGAGTGTGGAAATTAGGAAAAGGTGTGAAGTTAATAAAAGTATTAGTCAGAGGGCAGAAGAGGGGTTGTTGAGGTGGTTTGGTCATTTAGAGAGAATGGATCAAAGTAGAATGACATGGAAAGCATATAAATCTATAGGGGAAGGAAGGCGAGGTAGGGGTCGTCCTCGAAAGGGTTGAAGAGAGGGGGTAAAGGAGGTTTTGTGGGCGAGGGCTTGGACTTCCAGCATGCGTGCGTGAGCGAGCGTGTTAGATAGGAGTGAATGGAGACGAATGGTACTTGGGACCTGACGATCTGTTGGAGTGTGAGCAGGGTAATATTTAGTGAAGGGATTCAGGGAAACCGGTTATTTTCATATAGTCGGACTTGAGTCCTGGAAATTGGAAGTACAATGCCTGCACTTTAAAGGAGGGGTTTGGGATATTGGCAGTTTGGAGGGATATGTTGTGTATCTTTATATGTATTTGCTTCTAAACTGTTGTATTCTGAGCACCTCTGCAAAAACAGTGATTATGTGTGAGCGTGGTGAAAGTGTTGAATGATGATGAAAGCATTTTCTTTTTGGAGATTTTCTTTCTTTTTTGGGTCACCCTGCCTCGGTGGGAGACGGCCGACTTGTTGAAAAAAAAAAATTGAAAAAATATGCATTGAGATACAGTCTCTCCTCTCTTGATGGAGTTCCATTCCTAAGACCACGATAAACGAATTCATTGCCGAGTGAGGAGCATTCTATAATGGTAGTGGGGTTGAGTCGGCCCTCTTTGATATTGTTTTAATGTCACCTTTGCACCATTTATAACATTTCTGGTATATTTTTAAATGTTTATACAGTAGTGTACTCTATATTGTAATAAACAAAATAAAGGAAATCGGCTCTAATATGCATTATTTAGGCATGCATACTGATCCGAGAGCCTGTCGCAAGTCCGAGTCGCCAGTATGCGAGTACATTGCTAAGTGAGGAGAGACTGTACTGTAATGTGGCAGTAAATTTGGGTTAATTCCTTTGATTGCCCTAATGTGATATAATATCTAGTTTATATAATTTTCATTTTTCTTTAGATTATGGGAGCAACAACAGTGGATTCTACAAGTTACAGGCTGTATTAACTCATCAGGGAAGGTCATCATCTTCTGGTCACTATGTAGCCTGGGTACGGTGGAAGGGTAACGAATGGTTGAAGTGTGATGATGATGATGTTACTTCTGTTACAGAAGAGGATATCCTCAAATTATCTGGAGGAGGTAGGATTTGGTTGACAGTGTTACTCAGGTTAACATAGATTGATTTCTACTAGATTTTCATATGATCTGTATTTGTATTTCTCGTGTCCTCACGTTGAGACTTTTTTCCCCCAGGTTAGCCAGGTATAAGTTGATGGGGCACTGCTCATAAGTATGCATAAACATTCAGTTTCTTGACCTTACTGTTGTACTCTTTTTTTTTTTTTACATTCTTGGTAAATTGTTTTCCACATCGTATGGTAAAAAAAAAAGTTGCACAATACTGTGCACTAATCCTTTGAATAATATGATTTTTATTGTTTAATTTTGTTTAGATTATAGATCCATAGAGAAAGAATTTTGTTGAGTGAGAACCTGTGCCTTACATAAGTAAGCTTTTGTAGACATTCCTAATTACTAAATTCTATAAAATGAAAATAAATATAGACTCTTAAGGGTATTGAGTAGTCATAGACTCAGTGTTTAGAAAACATTTACTGATTATTTTCTGAAAAATCTTAAGGGCTTGGTCTTTCTTTCAACACACCGGCCGTATCCCACCGAGGCGGGGTGGCCCAAAAGGAAAAACGAAAGTTTCTCCTTTTACATTTAGTAATATATACAGGAGAAGGGGTTACTAGCCCCTTGCTCCCGGCATTTTAGTCGCCTCTTACAACACGCATGGCTTACGGAGGAAGAATTCTGTTCCACTTCCCCATGGAGGTAAGAGGAAATAAACAAGAACAAGAACTAGAAAGAAAATAGAAGAAAACCCAGAGGGATATGTATATATATGCTTGTACATGTATGTGTAGTGTGACCTAAGTGCAAGTAGAAGTAGCAGACATACCTGAAATCTTGCATGTGTATGAGACAGAAAAAAAGACCAGCAATCCTACCATCGTGTAAAACAATTACAGGCTTCAGTTTTACACTCACTTGGCAGGACAGTAGTACCTCCCTGGGCGGTTGCTGTCTACCAACCTACCAACACACCGGCCATATCCCACCGAGGCGGGGTGGCCCAAAAGGAAAAACAAAAGCTTCTCCTTTTACATTTAGTAATATATACAGGAGAAGGGGTTACTAGCCCCTTGCTCCTGGCATTTTAGTTGCCTCTTACAACACGCATGGCTTAAGGAGGAAGAATTCTGTTCCACTTCCCCATGGAGATAAGAGGAAACAGACAAGAACAAGAACTAGAAAGAAAATAGAAGAAAACCCAGAGGGGTATGTAAATATATGCTTGTACATGTATGTGTAGTGTGACCTAAGTGCAAGTAGAAGTAGCAAGACGTACCTGAAATCTTGCATATTTATGAGACAGACAAAAGACACCAGCAATCCTACCATCATGTAAAACAATTACAGGCTTTCGTTTTACACTCACTTGGCAGGACGGTAGTACCTCCCTGGGCAGTTGCTGTCTACCAACCTACTACCTAGAAGGGCTTGGTATATACATTAAATGAAAAGTTTCAAAAAGAAAATATTAATGTGATTTCTGTCTTATACTTTAAAACATGGCAACTTCTGATATGATGACTTGTTTAAATGTTCTGTATAAGTTATATAAATAGCATTATTTGACAATGTATGGCATACTGTTAATTTTTTTTTTAACACCACCTACCATCTCTGTGAGGCAGGATGACCTAAGGAGAAAAATGAAAATTTTTTCTTTTACATTTTAGTAATCTGTACAGGAGAAGGGGTTACTATCCCATTGCTCCCTGCTATAAATTTATTTGTTTAAATTTATTGCTCTCGTGCTTACAATGCAGGGAAAACACTTGTTAAGTCATATTTCATCAGTGACTAATTACCAAAAAATCCATATAATAAAAAAACATTGTTTATCAGAAAATTAGACCATTCATAAAATGGAAAATTGTGCAGTTTTAGCTTTTATAAATGACAGTTGAATTCAATTCCAAAGATTAAATCTCAGTACTGAGATAAATGTCTTTTTTATATTGGTCATCTCTTCCCAAGATGGTGTGACTAAAAGATAAAAAATTCATTTACTATCATTCATTCAACATCTGTCCTGCCAGAACTACATACAATCACAAATCAGATGACCCACTAAAGTGCAGCACCCCCACCCATCCATCAGAGCAGGCACTGGTACCTTGAAGCTGGTGAAAGGCTTTTGATCTAAAGAATTGGAGCTACTCTTCATTTTCTTAGATTGAATCTGATTGCCTTTCAATCCCCAAGGCACTGTATGACCTCTACAGTTTTAACTCGCCCAACATAGAGTAACTAAATAAATAAATCATGATCTGGCCATTTTCTGTCTGTTTTATTTATCTACGATGCTGATGTTATTGAAATTATATACACTTCAGGAGACAGGTTTGGTGTACAGCGGAACCTCAATATTCGTATGTCACCATATTCATATAAGTTGACATTTGTCCAGTTGTTTTGAGAAAAATTTGACTTAGTATTTGGACGTTGCCCTGATATTCAACTTAAACAAAACGGTCCATCTGGACAAAGTCCAACGAAAACAAAGCATCATGCGCTCAGTCTCTCATCAGCTTTTGTTCATTAAGTTTCGTTTGCACAAGCTCTGTGAAACTTTCTGGCATTTCATTGTTATTCTTTTTGATGTTTTTTAAATATTTTCATTGAAAATAAGTAATCATGCCCCCCCAAAAATAGTAGTGATCCAAACAACCCTAAAAGCAGTGAGAGCAACAAATAAAGTAAAAAAAGAACTCATTGCGAAGTGGGTAAAGTGTAACACATGTATTTCACTTTGAGTCAGAGCCTGTAGTGAAGGATATTGTTTCTCTGGGCCACTTCCATGGGTTTGGAAATGGATGATGAGGATGTAGAGGAGTTGGTGGAGGATCACAAGAATGAGCTCACCACAGAACTTCAAGATGTGCACAAGGAGCAGCAAGAAGTGGTTGAGGAAATTTCGTCAGAGAAGGGAAGCAGTAAGGGCAATATTTCCACTGCAGTAAATTAAGGAACTGTGTGTTATCATTGGGCTCAGACTCTGAGCCTGATGGAAAAAATGGCATCCTAACATTACTGTTGTGAATAGGAGCATTGACCTGTTCATGACAATGTTGTTGACCACTTTAGAAAAATTTTGAAAAGTCGTCAAAAACAGACAACGTTGGACAGCTTCTTTAGTAAAGAAAAAAATCAAATGGTTGTGAATCCCCATCCTCTTCAAGTGCTACTGCACAGAGACAGAAAAGAGAAACAACACCAGACTGGCAGTTACCTGATATTTTTATGGAAGGTGACACTCTTTCCAAACAATAACATATCTCCACTTAAATTTTCATGTATTTGTTTTAAAGTTTTCATGTATGATTTCATGCATGCAAATATTATTATACAGGTTTGAATAAGCAATATTTTCACTTAGTTTTTTATAATTGGTAATTTTTTGGGGTCTGGAATGGATTAATCCAATTTACATTATTTCTTATGGGAAAAATCTATTCAGTATTCGTATGACTTACTATTTGGACAGCCTCTGGAATGGATTAAGCTCGAATATTGAGGTACCACTGTAATGCTTACTCCCAAATAATACATGGTAGGCAACAACCATCCAGGGAGGTACTACCATCCTGCTTTTAGCCCTGTAATATTTCTTTTCTAGTTTAGAAGGCATGGTCTGAGACAGCTGTAAGAGAGATGATCCCAGCCCCATTAACAGATAACAGGTCTTCTTTTGCTTCATAAACTTCGTCCCTTACAGTAGTTTTGCTGTCTTGGTTCTCCTTTGTGTGTAGCCTTTTTTTAGCAGTTTGACTTCAGTAGACATTTACTTGACTGTTCTTTATCCTGTCTAGAGCCTTGTGTGGTTTGTTTTTGCCGACTTATACCTTTTCCTTATTATTGTGGCATTGTAAACATAAATACTATATAAAGGTGTTTATCCCAACTGGGAATAGTGTGGGGCATATTTCTTACCTTTAGGGGACTCTTACTACTGTTGTTACTTTCACATCTTGACATTTTATCCTTCCCTGTGACTTGTGTTGTCTTACAGATATTCCTGATTTTTAGTCATCCTGTCATCCCTGCTTATATCCCAGATTTGTTTAGTATTATTGTATGTGGTTCTATGTCAAAGGTGCTCTTGTGATTTAGAGCTGTGTGGTTTATCCATCCCTTTCTTATTTTCCTACCTAATCATCTTCAACCTGTTATAGGCTTCTTCTTGTCTTAGCTGGAAAGACATACATGTATTTCCCATTCCTGTAATTGCTTATGCTTTATGAGGAATTGTTTTTTAGTTTGTATTTGTATGTACTTTTTTACAATGTTTATAATTTTATATTTTTTTTTGTTTTTAGGAGACTGGCACTGTGCTTACATTTTGTTGTATGGACCACGGATATTGGAAGTAGTAGAAGACCTCAAACCAGTGGATGAGGTCAAAATGGAGGCTGAGTGAAATGGCTATATCTAAATAGTTTGTGATCTTGTTGGTAAGATTGTCAAATATGAAAATATCAGGTCGCTTCCTACATTTTTGACCAATAAAATGTGATATGCAGGGTCCTCTTATGGGTTTCGGTTAATGAATTCTTAAGTTATGCCTCAAAACTGATGGTAATGGACTATCCAGACTGTTAAGAATTCTAAGCTGAATATTTTTTTCATTAATTTGTTTGAGAGGTAGTTAAATAAAGCAGCCTTTTGTAATCCTTATGAAGACCATTTTAATTCCATGAATAATGCCCATCTTCAGGGAAGTATTTTTTTTTTTAGGCAAGATATAGTATTTTATTAATTTAATATCTTTATGAGACATCCTGTTATAAAGATATGGATTATTGCCTTTTTGTACTACTGTAATTGTTTGTCTCTACCTCTCAAAGAAAATCGTTACTGTAAAATAAATTTTATTAATACCAAGTTTTTCTTTTATCATTTACCTAATATATCATTGTTAGTTTAGTACTGTACAATAACATTCCTCTGCTCAAATTTAATATTAGCAGTTCATTCAAATTTATAGTTAAAATTAAGAATTTCAAAAGGAATTTTCAGAATAGCAAAATCTTTGAATTTAAATTCTGAACTCGTACGTTGAATAATATGCAGAGTGTAGCAATGCGAGTTGTCAGCTAGGTGCCATATCTTGCCCAAATGTAGTAACTTTTGCCACAATTCAAAATAATGTATCATTAATTTTATATTTAGCCTCATTTGTTAACTAATGAGAAACTGAAATTAATTCTTAAGATTTGAACAGAACAATACAGTAGTTGTAAGTTATTTTAAGGCTGCAAAAAGTACTCTGCATAACCAGGGGGCTTTATATACAGTGTCAATGATATCATATTTTATGTACTAATTGTTTCCTTGTGGGCTCGCTGCTTAGTTTTGATTGTAATAACAATCTGTACCAAATGTAAACCAGAAATTCTTTTTAGAATTTTTTTTTTTTTTTTCCAACAAGTCGGCTGTCTCCCACCGAGGCAGGGTGACCCAAAAGAGAAAGAAAATCCCCAAAAAGAAAATACTTTCATCATCATTCAACACTTTCACCACACTCACACATTATCACTGTTTTTGCAGAAGGTGCTCAGAATACAAAAGTTTAGAAGCATATACGTATAAAGATACACAACATATCCCTCCAAACCGCCTATCCCAAACCCCTCCTTTAAAGTGCAGGCATTGTACTTCCCATTTCCAGGACTCGAGTCCGACTATATGAAAATAACCGGTTTCCCTGAATCCCTTCACTAAATATTACCCTGCTCACACTCCAACAGATCGTCAGGTCCCAAGTACCATTCGTCTCCATTCACTCCTATCTAACACGCTCACGCACGCTTGCTGGAAGTCCAAGCCCCTCGCCCACAAAACCTCCTTTACCCCATCTCTCCAACCCTTTCGGCTTAGCGCTTCTTTTTTTATTATAATAATAATCCAACCCTTTCGAGGACGACCCCTACCCCGCCTTCCTTTCCCTATAGATTTATATGCTTTCCATGTCATTTTACTTTGATCCATTCTCTCTAAATGACCAAACCACCTCAACAACCCCTCTTCTGCCCTCTGACTAATACTTTTATTAACTCCACACCTTTTCCTAATTTCCACACTCCGAATTTTCTGCATAATATTTACACCACACGCTGCCCTTAGACAGGACATCTCTACTGCCTCCAACCGTCTCCTCGCTGCTGCATTTGCCACCGAAGCTTCACATCCATATAAGAGTGTTGGTACTACTATACTTTCATACATTCCCTTCTTTCCTCCATAGATAACGTTTTTTGGACTCCACATATCCCTCAATGCACCACTCGCCTTTTTCCCTCATCAATTCTATGTTTAAACCCTCATCCTTCAAAATCCATCCGCCGACACGTCAACTCCCAAGTATCTGAAAACATTCACTTCTTCCATACTCCTCCTCCCCAATTTGATATCCAATTTTTCTTTATCTAAATCATCTGATACCCTCATCACCTTACTCTTTTCTATGTTCACTTTCAACTTTCTGCCTTTACACACATTCCCAAACTCATCCACTAACCTTTGCAATTTTTCTTTAGAATCTCCCATAAGCACAGAATCATCAGCAAAAAGTAACTGTGTCAATTCCCATTTTGAATTTGATTCCCCATAATTTAATCCCACCCTTCTCCCGAACACCCTAGCATTTACTTCTTATACAACCCCATCTATAAATATATTAAACAACCATGGTGACATTACACATCCCTGTTTAAGACCTACTTTTACTGGGAAGTAGTCTCCCTCTCTTCTACACACCTTAACGTATCCTCATAAAAACTCTCTACAGCATTTAGTAACTTACCACCTATTCCATATACTTGCAACATCTGCCACATTGCTCCTCTATCCACTCTATCATATGCCTTTTCTAAATCCATAAATGCAATAAAAACCTCCCTACCTTTATCTAAATACTGTTCACATATATGCTTCAATGTAAACACTTGATCTACACATCCCCTACCCACTGAAACCTCCTTGCTCATCCGCAATCCTACATTCTGTCTTACCTCTAATTCTTTCAATTATAACCCTACCGTACACTTTTCCTGGTATACTCAGTAAACTTATTCCTCTATAATTTTTACAATCTCTCTTGTCCCCTTTCCTTTTATATAAAGGGACTATACATGCTCTCCGCTAATCCCTAGGTACCTTCCCCTCTTTCATACATTTATTAAACAAAAGTACCAACCACTCCAACACTATATCCCCCCCTGTTTTTAAAACATTTCTGTGATGATCCCATCAGTTCCAGCTGCTTTACCCCCTTTCATTCTACGTAATGCCTCACATAGCCTCCCCCACACTTACATTCTGCTCTTCTTCACTCCTAAAAGATGGTATACCTCCCTGGCCAGTGCATGAAATTACTGCCACCCTTTCTTTCTCAACATTTAAAAGTTCCTCAAAATATTCTCGCCATCTACCTAATACCTCCCTCTCCCCATCTACTAACTCCCCTACTCTGTTTTTTAACTGACAAATCCACACTTTCCCTAGGCTTTCTTAACTTGTTTAACTCGCTCCAAAATTTTTTGTTATTTTCATTAAAATTTCTTGACAGTGCCTCTTCCACTCTATCATCTACTCTCCTTTTGCACTCTCTCACCACTCTCTTCACCTTTCTTTTACTCTCCATATACTCTGCTTTCTTATAACACTTCTGCTTTGTAAAAACCTCTCATAAGCTACCTTTTTCTCTTTTATCACACCCTTTACTTCATTATTCCACCAATCACTCCTCTTTCCTCCTGCCCCCACCCTCCTATAACCACAAACTTCTGCCCCACATTCTAATACTGCATTTTTAAAACTATTCCAACCCTCTTCAACCCCCCCACTACTCATCTTTGCACTAGCCCACCTTTCTGCCAATAGTCGCTTATATCTCACCCGAACTTCCTCCTCCCTTCACTAAATATTACCCTGCTCACACTCCAACAGATCGTCAGGTCCCAAGTACCATTCGTCTCCATTCACTCCTATCTAACACGCTCACGCACGCTTGCTGGAAGTCCAAGCCCCTCGCCCACAAAACCTCCTTTACCCCCCCTCTCCAACCCTTTCGAGGACGACCCCTACCCCGCCTTCCTTCCCCTATAGATTTATATGCTTTCCATGCCATTCTGCGTTGATCCGTTCTCTCTAAATGACCAAACCACCTTTTTAGAAATAGTTTATTTTATTTGCATGATAAAAGTCTGTGAATGTTGGGGAACTAAGCAGGCTACATTCATCCCACCCAAGTTATTTATCTCTTGAAATATGAAAGAAATTGACATTTATGTTATATTAATCAACACTTAGAGATTCTCTTCCGAATTATTGACAAAATACTCCTACCATATCTCCACCAAAATTGGGCAGATTCCTGTTATTCATCAGATTGTGTTATTGAGATGTACAGTTTACATTATCGATTCTCGTCTTTATTAGTTTAGTGCTGATAAATATAATGATAATAATAAATATACATTCATGTTTTGTAGCTTTTAACACCCAGTAAAAGTAGGAATGTGTGATACCACCATGTCTGCTTAATATATTTATAAATAGGATTGTAAAAGAGGTGGATGGTAGGGTAATTGGGACAAGCATGAGATTGATATACAGTGGACCCCCGGTATTCGATGTCATCGGTATCCGATAAATTCGGTATTCGATGCATTTTAACGCAAAAATTTCGCCTTGGTATTCAATGCGATTCATACGAGACGTGTGCACGTGTGGCCTGAACTGCCCCGTGTGTGCCAGTGTTTACAAGCCAGGCAGTGTGCGCGCATCTAAGGATACATTCGGTACATTCCATATTATCACTGTTTTTGGTGCTTTTTTTTTTTCCCCCAACAAGTTGGCCGTCTCCCACCGAGGCAGGGTGACCCAAAAAAGGAAAGAAAATCTCCAAAAAGAAAATACTTTCATCATCATTCAACACTTTCACCACACTCACATATTATCACTGTTTTTGCAGAGATGCTCAGAATACAACAGTTTAGAAGCATATACGTATAAAGATACACAACATATCCCTCCAAACTGCTTGTTTCTGCAAAATAAGTCACCATGGGCCCCAAGAAAGCTTCTAGTGCTAACCCTTTGAGAAAAAAGGTGCTAATGACTATTGAAATGAAGAAAGAGATAATTGCAAAGTACAAAAGTGGAGTGCGTGTGTCGGAGGTGGCCAGGTTGTAGAGTAAACCCCAATCGACCATCTCTACTATAGTGACCAGGAAAACTGCAATCAAGGAAGCTGTTCTTGCAAAAGGTGCAACTGTGATTACGAAACAGCGACCACAAGTGTTAGAAGATGTTGAGAGACTGTTATTGGTGTGGATAAATGAAAAACAGATAGCAGGAGATAGCATCTGTCAAGCGATCATTTGTGAAAAGGCTAGGCAGTTGCATGACGATTTGGTAAAGAAATTGCCTGCAACTAGTGCTGATGTGAAAAGTCATAAAGGAATGAGAGGTACAGGCCTCTATGGGCAGATATGTTGTGCGACAGAAGTCCAGTGACTCTCAAGCTGGTCCTAGTGGCATTAAAAGAAGAAGGGAAGTAACCCTGGAAAAGGACTTGCTACCTCAAGTCCTAATGGAAGGGGATTCCCCTTCTAAACATTAACAACTTCGACACTCCCCTCGTCCCATCCCATCAATCATCACCAGATCTTCATTAAAGGTAAGTGTCAATTATTCTATTGTTATTATTGTATTGTTACTGTAATGATTCTATTGCATTAAACTTAATATTTCATGTGGTAAAATTTTTTTTTTCATACTTTTGGGTGTCTTGCACGGATTAATTTGATTTCCATTATTTCTTATGGGGAAAATTGATTCGCTTTTCGATATTTTCGGTATTCGATGAGCTCTCAGGAA